TAGATATATATATATATAGACATTTTTCAAAATATCTCCTTTTGTGTTCAACAGAAGAATAAAATGATGACAGAATGTTATTTTTTGGATGAACTATTCCTTAAGGTAGTCTTAAGACTCCTAACTTGGCTAAAACAGGTCTTAAAGCTCAGTTATGGTGATTATGTCTGATGTTTGTAGTTTTATATTAGACAGTGATGAGTGCAGTTATGAGTGCAGTTATGTTACTTCAAAGCTTTTCTTTGGGTGTTAATATTTGTGCATTCATGTGCAACAGGGAACAGAATGTTAACACTAGAGGGCAGTATTATATGATTTGCCTGAGCCAGAGCACACACTCACATACTTACGGTGAGATTCGAGGCAGACCCCCAATTTGGCTTGACTGTCCACCAGATCTGTCTGCACAGAAAGTGTAACTCTAGTGGAACTTTTAATGTGCACTTCTTTGGTTACAGCTTCCCATGTACATGACACAATGTTCAACACGCTGTCTGCACAGAAACCACTTCCTCTGAAGTCAGGAGCGAAGGGAAAAAGTAAGGGCCTCCAGGAAGGAGACAGGAGAGAAGCTGATGAACTGATGGCTTTATGGAATACAAACAAAACGAATAAGGTGAGACAGAGGATATGGAAAATTATAGCCAAACTTTAAAGTTTTAAAGGGATAGTTCACCCAAAATGTATGGATATAAACATTTTAAACATTTTCCAAAATATCTTAATTTGTGTTCTTGCAAAAGAAATACATATTATGGGTTTGGAATGACATGGGAGGGAGTGAAGGATGAAAGAATTTTGGAATGAACTGGCTATTGAAATGTCAAGTACAGTACATGTGCTTTTGTATGTTGGGCAACACATCAAAAGAAGTGTACTTCTTTAAAGCACCACAATAGATTATTAAAACATAGTGATTTAAAATGTATTCTGAAGTAAAACCTTTAATGTGACACTATTACAACCTGCACTTTTTAAAAGTGTACTTAAATGTGTTAAGAAACAGTAAGAGAAGTATGCACTTTTTTAAGTACACTTTACTGGCCATTTATTTCATTAGTATTATTTTGTCTGCAAGTAGGCCTACCGTTTTTATATATACTTTTAAGGTTTGAAGTACACGGCAAGTGCACATTCAATACAATTAAAAACACTTTTTTAACACTACTGCATTTTATGAAATTTTGTCAGAAAAATGTTTCAAATGTGTCAAAAAAAGTTTTGATCTAACTGACATATTATGGGTTTGGAATGACATGGGAGGGAGTGAAGGATGAAAGAATTTTGGAATGAACTGGCTATTGAAATGTCAAGTACAGTACATGTGCTTTAGTATGTTGGGCAACACATCAAAAGAAGTGTACTTCTTTAAAGCACCACAATAGATTATTAAAACATAGTGATTTAAAATGTATTCTGAAGTAAAACCTTTAATGTGACACTATTACAACCTGCACTTTTTAAAAGTGTACTTAAATGTGTTAAGAAACAGTAAGAGAAGTATGCACTTTTTTAAGTACACTTTACTGGCCATTTATTTCATTAGTATTATTTTGTCTGCAAGTAGGCCTACCGTTTTTATATATACTTTTAAGGTTTGAAGTACACGGCAAGTGCACATTCAATACAATTAAAAACACTTTTTTAACACTACTGCATTTTATGAAATTTTGTCAGAAAAATGTTTCAAATGTGTCAAAAAAAGTTTTGATCTAACTGTTATAAGTGCACCTGACCTTGACCTTTCTATATAATGTTGTATTGAGCTGCAGTAGTCCCCTTTATAAGATTTTATTCCCAACTATGTAAGTTCACTCACAGTGTCCATAGATCTGCACCAGGGCCGGACTGGGATGCAATTTCAGGCCGGGAAATCTCACACTCATCCAGGCCACACAGAAAAAAAAGAGGCCAAAATGGTACCTTTTGGGGTACAACAGCTTGTCACTGGAGCAGTACCCTTAAAAGAACATCTGTGTACCTACATATTAGTACCTTATAGTAATTCGTACACATAAAGTACTAATATTTACCTATTAGGGGTAAAAGGCAAAATACGTCCTTTTTAAGCTGCTCCAGTGACAAGCTGTTGTTCCCCAAAAAAGGTACCATTTTGGCCTCTTTTTTCTGTATATAGCCTATTGACCCACTACAATTTCTGAAACCACAGATAACCCTATTATTTAAATGACCATCACATAAAACATTCTAAATCCTTGGTCTGGGGCCGTAAAAAATAATTAAAGGTTGTCTCTTGAACTGCACCTTTACTTCCCTTTTTACTTTTCTTCATTTATCTCTGTCTATAATATCTCTGTCTCTCCCTTTTTTTATTGTACCTGTCACTTCTTGACCAGCGGGTCTACTGTTATGAACAGAACTGTGTCCACCTTGTTGCAAAACGACCACCTCATTGCAATTTATCATCACAGAATGTTATTTATCTTAAAATTACTTAAATACCCAAGATTTAACAAACCTATATTTCATACAAATATATCAAAACAATTTTCTAAAGTGCCTAAAAGTCTAAATCAGTACAATATCTTTTTTGAAAAATCCTAATACTGAACACGCTACTGTATTATTAGGCTGTGATATTTTTGTGTTGCTGTCTGCTCAAGCTCCCTCCCTTCCTATACAATGAATCCATGAGAATATCTGTCTGCTAAATTTATTAATGTAACTTTCCAATAGATGATGATGTCCTTTAGAACAGTATTCTGAATGATGTTAAAAATAGTGTGCCCCTGATAGCCTAACAGATAGGCTACTAGCAGTTTAATACTCAACTAGGTTAATAAAGATAAAACTCTTTAGCATATTTACAGATGAAACTGGCCTGCACCTGAAGCCCTGAACAGGCATTTTTGCAACATTTCGCTGCTTCTTCTGGCCGCTTCCTCTCCTTCATCGAGTCCCACGCATCAACTCTGTTTGAAACCGATGTTTGAAGCGCAGAACAGACGTGAGCCGATTCTTATAGTGCAGCGCTGCCAGGCAAGACTGACCGATTTATGATGTATTATCGATTTATTATCGTATGACAAAATCGGAAATTATCACTTTGGTACATTGAGAAGGCAAAAATATGAATAATAATAATAACTAAAAAAAAAAAAAACGGCCAGTCTGGGCCTGATCTGCACCTTTAAAGATTACAAGTGGAAGGAAACCATGTGACTCCATCCCCACATCCACCATAACTCTCCCTGCATGTTTCCTCAGAATGATACATTAAGGTTTGCATTGCACACTTGGCATTTTTCCCCTCATAAAGACATTAGCCTGTTAACCCCGTCACATCATTACAGGCTTATTCTGGTGAGTTATTACCGCTGCTCCAGAGGGTTAATTGGCTGTCTGGAAATAGAGCCATCTCACTGATAACTTTAAACAAGCTTTAAACATCATGTAATGTTCTCATAAAGAATTACATGCTTTTGCATGTCATGTTTGACTGATTCATTGCACATATGTGAAAATGGTAGCAAAAGACAGCTTATAGATGCAGTTTTTAGATGTTTGTTATTGCAGTGGAATTATTGAAATATAAATAAATGTGAGTATAAGCATTATGTGTCCCTCAGGGTATCATTAATAAAAAATACAATAATTTCTTCTATAGAAAAATATTTAGAATTACTGTAAAAATAACTGCACAAGAGAAATAACGCAAAAACTAAATTATCTCACATTGGGTTGAGTATGGTGTGGCAGTATAAAATATAGATGATTTTTATGGATATGCAGTTCATATTTCAAAGTGTAAATGCTTTTAAATGCTTCAATTGTGATAGTTTAGAGCTGTCCTGAACTCAGTGGTCACAAATGCTTTGATGTGGTCATGGATCTATTTATCTTTGCATTTAATGTTTGGTTAAGATTTTTATATGCTGGGCTGATCCAGTGCCAGGTATTATGTGCATACACAGGTCAGCACTTTCATGTGTGTGTGTGTGTGTGTGTGTGTGTGTCTTTTGTGAGACTGACAATCCAAAGTACAATATGTACTGGGTGAGTGTGTGGTCTGTCAGCTACCTCACCTCTGAAGCACCAAGAGGCTTTAACCATGAGCCCAGTGGTCTTGCTTCAATTATAGTAGTTTTGTGAGCCACAGAGGTGCATGGAGCTTCGACTGCAAAGCTTTATTAACAAACCAGAGATTAGAATGAAAGAAGAGGAAATTCTACTGAAGTCTATAAAAAAAACATGCAGGCGTCAAGCTGTCAAAGCTTGGTTGTGTTTCCTTCACCATTTACGTGTGTTAGTCTTTAGGATAAGACACATGATTGTCTGGAGTACTTGTGCCAAACATAAATAAAGACCAGAGAAAAATGGAAAAACATTTTTGAGGGTTACTCGGTTACAAAAATAGGCAAATTTGGACACTAATGATTCTGGTACAGTGGAAAATTATTAGTAGTATTATTATTGTTATAACATTGAGTTGACGGGGCTCAAAATTAAGCATGGCCAGTGTGAGATTTTGTTGAAATTGCATAAAAGCATGTGATAATCTTGAAATCATTGTGTTGAAAATTACAAATCAGCAATGTTTTGCATCATATGGCAACGTTTTCCATCAAGTGTGTTGGTCAAAAGTTTGGAAAAGTTTATTTATATATATATTTTTAGAAGTTTATGGTGCAGCCCTGTTTACTGTTGATCTCTGGGTGAATTCTATTCATTTTAAAAGGAGTCTGTGTGATTGGGAGTTCCCCATGCAGATTTCACTCATGGCCATGTTGGTCATGTGAACTTTTCTATTAAAAACTTAACAAAATCTTAATTATCCTTTTGATATAACTTACATAATATGTAATTATATATATATA